CTTCCATAGTGATACTGCCTTGGAAACCCAAGGAGGGGTCGCTATGAGTTGGGTCTGACTCGACGGCATGTAACAACAACAATAATCTTGTTATTGTTGTTATGTCCCATCGAGTCAGACCCAACTCATAGAGACCCCTCCTTGGGTTTCTGAGAAGTAGATTGCCCAACCTTCCTTCCAAGGAGTAGCTGATGGGTTTGAACCGCCAGCCTTCTGGTTAGTAGTTAAGTGCCTTAGGCACTAAGCTACCAGAGCTCCTTACCTGATAATCAGGAGCTCTTATTAGGTAAGAACTATTAATAACATTAAGAGAAATATGTTTACTAAAATATATAAGCACTTGAATACTACCGACATATAATAAGCACTCAGTAACTATTAGCCATAATAACAATTATAAAATTTTCTTTGTACTAAAAGTTAGAAAACACAACTATTCTCAGAATAAACATTAAGAAAAAAAATCCACACTACTTGAAATTAATAATTTAATATATTTTTCATCAACACAATACATAAAAAAGTTGTATTTTTTGAGAGTGTTTAAATTTAGATTGAAACAAATAAATTGCCATATGTGCAGGGAAAAAAAGTTGAATACCACTAATTATAAAGGGTTCATCTTCACTTATGGTTTATCTTTCATATCTCCAAATTATTTTATGTTAGAAAATGTAAATATATTTCACTGAAATGCATTTAAAATAACTTTAAGAAATGGAGCCTCGGCCAGAATAAAGCTCCCAAAAATAACTTTTAAATGATTAAAGCATTGTCACCATAAGCATCTTTAGTGAAGTACAAAATGAATCTGAATATACTATTAAAAAGCCAGTAAACATCTTTCTGGTAAAATATTAACTATTTAAACAGTATAGCTTAACTTTTCTACTTCAGTTCTCCAGAACTTTATCTGAGAAGACTAATGAACTGTGAAAAAGAAAAATAAATTCTAGTGATTCTCTTTTCTTTGGAAGAGAAAGTTAAGGTTGTGTGTCTATGTGTCTGGGCCTGGTTGAGTGGCTGGGCAGCTAGATGTAGTTATTCCCCATGGTGAGGCTGGCAATCACTTCCATGGTGGAATCTACTGGAACAGCTGAGTAGCTGCTTTAGGGATGTGGGCTGCTTCCAGTATATAAGAACCAGCTTTGAGGAAAGTATCTAACTTTTTGGCATGCTTGAACCCTGCATGTAGCCAAGTCATTGGTCAGCAGCCTGCCATGCCCTGCTGATCTTGGGACCTTTTCTGGACTTGAATTAGTTGCCTGCTGTGTTGTTTGGTAATATTGGGGCTATGCCTTTTTACCTATTGACCTTGGGTCTGTCAGCCTCAGCAGCCAGCAGCTGCCTGAGTGAAGAAAAGCCTTTAGCTTCAATGGGCCAGGAGCAGGAGGCAGAGCTGAAGCTCAAGGCTGAGGGGCTTTCACCCAGCCCTTAGAGCCTGGCACTTTGAACTCAGACTTCTAGCCTCCAAAACTGTAAGAGAATAAACTCCTATTTGTTAAAGCTATTCCATTTGTGCTATTTTTCTGCTAGAGTAGCACAAGGTAACCAAAACAGAAATTTAGCCCCAACTATTGTTTCAATTGGGAGCTCTGGTAGCATAGTGCCTATGGCACTTAACTGCTAACCAGGAGGCTGGTGGTTCAAACCCACCAGCCACTCCTCGGAAGGAAGACGGGGCAATCTACTTCCACAGTGATACTGCCTCGGAAACCCAAGGAGGGGTCGCTATGAGTCGGGTCTGACTTGACGGCACATAACAACAACAACAACAATTGTTTCAATCACTGATACATTCCAATGGACATTTGTAAGGTTTCTTACATTCAAACTTTGATTTCCTATTTAACAAAGGTTAAGAAATATGCTTAAAGACGGGAAGTTTCCCTGAAAAAGAAAATTAAACTACTAATTCTGAGATCTGTGAAACATAATCCCTCAGATGTAGTCATTCATTCAATCATACATGCACTCACAAACATTTATTGAATATCTTCTATGTGTCAAGTGCAGTATTGTCTCTGAGATTAGAAGTAAAAGTCAGTTAGTCCTTAACCACAAGAACTTAGAATCCTCCACAAATTAAATAAAATACAACAATAAAATATGATAAAATCTATAAAGGCTTCTATGAAAGAAACTTAGCTCACATTGTAGCAAAACTTCCAAAGGAAGTGAAATGTAAATAAGACATTGGAATGAAAAGTAGAGGTTCTCTAGGAAAAGAATAGGAGCAGGGTATAGTTTGACCCCAGGGAGAAAATAGCAAAGTATAAAAGCAAGGGTATTTGAGAAGTCATGGCACAGTCAGGAAAACAGTATGGCTGTAGTGAATGGCTAAAGCAGTAGAAACAAAAGATATATCTAGAGAGGTCAGCAAAGACTACATCATGAAGGATCTTACCATGTAGCGCTTTGGTAAGAAGTTTGGATTTTACCTAGCAGATTTGTAAATAAATAGGAAACAGAAAGACAGTGTGTATGAGAGAGTAGTGTGTGTATAAACATTTTTTTAAAACATGTTTATCATATATATAACTTAATCAGGATAGCAGAGAACAGAAAATAGAAAAAGAAACTCACCATGTTTTCCCCTAGAAATATCCACATACTGGCACAATCTGGGATGGGTAATGGTCTTAAGGATTTGAAAACGTCCTAAAATTTTAATGGAATTTGGTGTGAGAGGAAGCCCATTGCTTCCACAAACATCATGTGGCAGAGCTGAGGCAAAGAAGGTAAAGGCACCAATTTCAGCATCCTTCAAGGGAAACATTTTCAGAGTACTAAGTCTTCTAAAATTACCTGGGGGGAAAAAAGAGAATTTAATGATTAATCAACCAAACATTAAGCCAGTGTTTTCTCATCTTAAAAATGATTAATCATCTACAGCTTGGAGCAAAATAATAATTTGAACACAGTAAAAAATTATTAAAGTTAAATAATTCTAAGACAATATCAAAGTGGAAACAATATATAAACAGGTTTATACTGAAGCTCTTAATCAATATCAAAGGTCTTCAATGAGATAAAAAGAAAAGATACATTTCATGTTCAATGAAACCTAATAGCTCTAAGAGTTTTATAAGAAGACTGTTATTATACATTCTGATCAATAAGGTTCTTCTCTTTATCTAAACCTTGAACTACCCACAAATCATCAAGAACCTTTCCTTCTCACAAAGTAAGGAAAGTCAGGAAAGACAAAATGTCAATACTAACCAGAAACTAAATAATCAGGGACTCTACTGACAGCACTAAAATGCAGCTTGATAACACAAGGCTCTATAATGTTAATTAACTAATCAATTTTTATTTTTGTGCTAATTGCTTTACTTAAGTGATCATCTTTAACCCCATCAACAATCCTGATAGACTGTTAATGATGCCAGGTTATAGATATATGTTCTATATAGAGTCTGAAGGATTGTATTTGCATGGGTTCCAATATAAATGGTGGCCCCAGTGTTTTGCAATGGGGAAGAATAGAGATTAAGAAACTTGCTCCAGCTCTGCATCTGAGCACTGGAAGTCGTTTCTGAAAATAGATGTGAATCAGGCTTTCAAGACACACTTGAAAAGTGAGTTTAGGGCCTGCTTTCACTTGGCAAGTCCAGGGCATCAGAGTAGACTAAGCATCAGCAAACATGGTGGGCCTGGGGCAGCTAAGGACAAGAAAAGGAAACAGAAACCTAATTTCAATTCCTTGTTTGTCTTTCTAGTTCCTACCCTATAATAGTAATACTATAAAGTCTAACAGCTTCAAAACAAAACTTGCTCCAAATAAATCTGAATCATATTAAGGCAATAGCAGTAAAAAAGGTCCTGTGATACAAAGTTTCTATCACCCAGGTACTCATTATAAAGACATTCCATTAGTCAAGTACTACCTTCTCCACTTCCCAGCCTTTAAAGTAAAACAGCTCGAATTCTAATCCAAGATAGACCATTTTTCTCATGCCTGTCCAGAAAGGTCATTAAAAACATATATAAATGAATTTTATAAATGTATTAACTCACAACAAGATAGAAGGCCATGAGCTGCTGAAAAGCAAAATACTTATGAAAAAGAACTGTCATAAGACATAAAGAAGAAAGCTACAACTCATATTACATGAGGTTTGTTTGGCCTCCTCATATTTAGGTGCTTCAGCCTCAGAGAAGTCAGGAACAATGGTCAGAACACCAGTTAGAAAAGCGGTGCAATCAACATGATATGAATGGTTGAAAAAGAGGATAACTCTGCTACCAGTCCCCCAACACTGGTCAAGGGCTTACCCTGAAAACAAAAATAAGAATTGAAAAAAACCAAAAAACTTCTTCCCTAAAGAAATGGAAGGAGCTCTGGTAGCATAGTGCCCAAGGCATTTGACTGCTAACCAGAAGGCTGGTGGTTCAAACTCACCAGCCACTCCTCGGAAGATGGGGCAATCTACTTCTGTAGTGATACTGCCTCGGAAACCCAAGGAGGGGTCGCTATGAGTCAGAAATGACTTGACGGCACATAACAACAACAACAACAAAGAAATGGAATGAACTGTCTGAAGAGACAGTAGCTGATAGGCCAAAAGCAAACTCCTCTCAATTAGGTAATTTGTGAGACCCCAATGTAATATCTGTCTCTTCACCCAGCCAATCTCAAATTCAGCCAGTCAACAAGCCCTGTGCACATACACAAAGCTCCCGGACAACCTTCCCTCACTCTTAAATAATAAATGGTCCAGGAATTATCACACACATGAGGAAAGTCAAAGACCTCTGGTGGCACAGTGGTTAAAGCATTCTGTTATTAACCAAAAGGTTAGCAGTTTGAATCTGCCAGCCATTCCACAGGAGAAAAGCAATGCAGACTACGTCTATGAAGATTTACAGCGTTGAAATATCCACGGGGGCAAGTTTACTACATCCTGTAGGGTTGGTATAAGTCAGAATCAACTCAATGGCAGTGGATTTGGTTTTTTGAGGAAAAATGACTGCATAAAAGACAAAGAATACACTAAACCAAAAATACCTGGCCTTCAAGGCAACCGAACTAATTTCTGGGGGGGAGGGGGAGTTGGAAACACCTATATTTACAGAGATGTGAAAAGATATTGTATTCACTGTATAAAGGAATAGGATTATAAAAAATATATATTTCATATAAGGGGAATGAATAATAAACATATAAGATAAAAAATCCCTCTAATAATCAAGGGACTACTCATTGAAACCACATGAGATTTGACACATATCAGATTGATAAAAATTAAGAAATCTGATAATATAATGTTGATGAGGATATGGAGAAATAGGAACTCTTCTTTTATGGTATGCAGAAGTGTTAACAGATACAATCACTTTGGAAAAGAGTTTGGTACTATTTTGTTATTCAACTCTTGCCAAACTGACTTATCGGTCAGTTTGTTGTACTGTGGTGGTTTGCATTTTGCTGTCAGGCTGGAGGCTATGCCAACACTATTTCAAATACCAGCAGGGTCACTGTGGTGGTTGTTTGTGTGTCAACTTGGGTGGGCCTGGTTGAGTGGCTGGGCAGCTGGTGGTAGTTATTCCGCATGATGAGACTGGCAATCAACTCCAGGGTGGAATCTACCCCAAGCAGCTGAGTAGCTGCTTTGGGTATGTGGTCTGCTTCCCGTATATAAGAAGCAGCTTTGGGAAGGGTCTCTAGCTTATGACACGCTTGGACCCTGCATATAGCCGTGTCATTGTTCAGTAGCCTGCTATGCTCTGCCAACCTTGAGACTTACAGTGGACTTAGGTTAATGGCCTGCTGTGTGGTTTGGTAACACGGGACTGTTACTTGTTTTTACTTGTCAACCTTGGGCTTCTCAATCTCAGCAGCCAGCAGCTGTCTGAGTGAAGGAATGTCTCTAGAGCCAGTGGGCTGGGAGCTGGAGGCAGAGCTGGACCCCAAGGTTGAGGGGCTTTCACCCAGCCCCTAGAGCCTGGCACTTTGAACTTGGACTTAAAG